TGTGTGTGTGTGTGTGTGTGTGTGTGTGTGTGTGTGTGTGTGTGTGATGCTGGTGTGTCATTATGCTTTCTCCTTCATTGGAGGCCTGCTCATCTGGCTAATGGGATTGGCTGCAGTCATTGCAGAGCGTGTGGGACCGCATACACACACACACACACACACACACAGTGAAGGCAGAGAAAAGAAAAGATGGATGGAGGATGAGGAGATGGAGGTGTGACTGCTCTTGTCAGTAGACTTGTATGATGAAGAAACCCATCAATGGGAGAACACGTGAGGGGTGGAGGGAGAGGACAATGAGGAGGAGGACTCGGTCAATAGATGCACCCGTAAAGATGGAGAGTGTGTGTTCCCACTGATTGAGGAAGGGACGGATGGGAAAATGGGAGTAGGATGGATGGATCGACTCATCAACCTAAGAATGAAGAGGAGAGAAAAGAAGTGATGTGCAGAAGGAGAATGAAGGGTGGTAAAAGGAAGGGAGGATGATGGCGATGGGTGAGTGAAAAAACGAGTGAAAGAGGGACGCAACAAAGCAAAAAATAATGTGGACAAAAACATGAAGCAGTAGAAATAGGAGGGACGTGAAAGAGAGAAGAATGGATGAAGGAAAGGAGATAAGGTGGTAAGAAATAGGGGTCAATAAGAAGCCAAGCAGGAGAGTAGAAGGAAGGACGATCCATTGATTTTCAACCGTCCATCATGTCATCCTGAAACACACAACTGTCTGATTTTACTCGTCCGTCACCTTTTCACCTCTCAGAGCGCAAATTCTCTCCGTTCCTCCAATTTAACAATAATTCAAACTTTTCCTCTCCTGTTATTTCTGCGACGGCCTTTTTCAACTTTGTTATATCTTCACACAAAGTGTGTGTGAGAGGTTTTTCTGTGGTCCATTAGTGGCCTTGAGAGGAACCGAACCTCCTCTCCATCTGCTCTACTGGACAATGACACAACGGGCCAACACCTCTGCCACGACCCCCCGACTCCCACCACATGAAGCCAAACAATGGCTTCTGTGTGTGTGTGTGTGTGTGTGTGTGTGTGCAGGACTCTTTCTACTTTCTTTGTGGTTCAGACGTGCAGGAGATTTATATAAACTCAGACATGGCTTGTTGCGCGTGTTCTTAGCCGCTTGGCAATCATGCGGATGGCTTAATCGTTCTTTAATCATTCTTGTTTTGTCATGTTCTACGTGTCTTAAAAAGAGTAAAAATAAGGCGACTAGACGTCCTCACTAGAACACTAGTCCTCCTTTAGCTTAGTGGTGGAGACGTGAAGTCACGTGACCGTGGTGGAGTTCCTTTATAGACTAACGTTAGCTTTTTATGTTACACTTCAAACATAAAAGTGGAGTTCATTAGTTAAGATTATCTCGCTGAACAAAACAAGTATCATAAACGTTTGTTTGCCACAGAGATTATTTTTTGCACTAATCCAAAATGGAAAAATCGGCTTTTTGTCGAGGGAACCAGTCCGTTGCTAACTTCCTGTGACACTACATCAATGCTTCATCCCTGCAGCTCTCTATTCATGCTCCCCAGAGGATAAAACGATGCCCTGACTTTCCCTCTTGCACCAGCAGGTCGACGTTTGTCGTTTTGACTGAAGCACTTCAACATAAAAGGGATGGATTTCTCCAAATTTGTGTTCCCCCCCGGATGAATATTAATCACTGTGGTCTCATCTCGAGACATCATGAGGTCAGCGTTTCTACATTATGATACTTTGGTTTATGTACAAATACCTGCAAAACTATGACATTCCCATCAGCTCCAGCTGTATTTTCGTTTGCTGTGTTTTGTTCCAATTAGCGAATATTACCACGCTAAAGACAATACTGACAAAAGAATGTTTTGTTTTTCACTTTCCATACAGACTCCTTACTGATATTGAAACTGTGTTTCATTAAATAAATAGAATAGTAAACGTATAACTATAGTACACCTAACAGATGAGGCAGCTGGAGAAGGAAGTGGATTGTTTTATTTTTATATTTCCGACAGGATTTTTGCACCGTTAGGGTTCAGACTCCCGGTGTTGTCCCACTGTGAGTGCTAACTTCAGTTTCCCAGTCTTTGTATTTATTTGCTTGCACGAAGGCGTCTTGCTTGCTGCGCTGGAGAGACCCCTTGATGTGAGGTACCGGGGCATCTTCTAGTTCTCATGAGCTATGCTAATGAGCAACACCCCTCAGGAAATCCAATACCTCTATTCCTTCATTTGTATGTGTGTGACTGTGTGTGACTCTGTGTGTGTGTGTGTGTGTGTGTGTGTGTGTGTGTGTGAACCTTTGTTTAAACCCCAATAAAGCACTTCCTGGGAGACGGAACCTGGAGACGGTCTGGAGGTGGGAGGAAGATGGAGAGTGAGAAAGTGAAAGAGGGGGAGCAGGTGAAGAGGAGGATGACAAGAGGGTTAGAGAGGTGACAGAGGCGAGGATGAGGATGGATGGAAAACAATGGAAGAGGTGCAGATGGAGATAAGGGAGAGTGGCGTTGAGGGGGATTTGAGGCAGAATTGGAGGAAAGAGAGAGGGAGACAGATGGAGAGCTGGGGAGCTGCAGCCTGAAGAGAAAAGAGTTTGGTGAAGAGAAACACTGAGTCACAAGTCTTCAAGCTGCTTCCTCCCACTGTCTGTGTATAGGAGCCCACACCCACGAGGAAAAAAGATTTCATGTTAGGAATAACAAAATATTCTCAAATTAGGAAATACAAAGTCCAAAGAATTTATGATTCTTAAAAGGGGCTGCATGCTAATCAAGTTGGTTTTCCGGAAACCAGTGACAGGAAGTGACCATATATGGACTGAGGAGGAGCGACGTAGAGACGCCGTATACGTCTCTGGTAGAGACCTGTCAATCACCGTGTAGCCCCGCCCTAAAGCATCCCCTGCTTTATGGTCTGTGTGACTCTAAATGGACCATAATGTACTAAATGAACATCGTGCTGTATTGAAGAAGACTTGAAACTAGAGATTGAGACCATAAACTCATGTTTACAATGTTTACTGAGGTAATAAATCAAGTAGAGTCGTCGCCAGAGAGAGAATGCTTTTATAATATATTTTAATGTTCAAATATAATTTTGACGTCACTTTTGGCTGTTGTTTTTATTTACTATTGTTGCGTTTATTATTCCTATCTGTTCCTTTTGTTTGCTGGCAGAAATGGGCTTCTAACCAACATTTAATCACCAAAGAGCACAATTAGCTGCTGTAGTTCAAAAGATTATTTTGACCTCTTCTACACAATTTAAAACAAATTGTCATCTTAGCACAAATTTGTCGAAAGCAATTAAAACCAATAATGGTGAAAGGAGACATGTTTAGCAAGATAAATACAGCATCTTTTGTAATCACTCGCTTATGTGACTGTCATGTGATTCCTGAACCAAGTAGCGCTAAATACAACTGAAGAGAAACGAGGTCAATTTAAACTTCTGGGATGCAGCCGAGTGAATGAAAGGGTGATGAAAGGGAGAGAAGAAAGGATGTCGGATCATGAAGGGAACAAAAAGGCAGAGACAGAGGATGATTGAAGTTTAGTGTAGAATCTATTTCTGCAGCCATCAGAGGGGATGGATGAACGGACAACTCGAAGAGAAGATTGGTAAACAAGGAGGAGAGAGATGGAGCATCGACGCCGGCTGCTACTACCTGAGGAGGAGTGAACGAGCTGATGGATGCGACGGTGGTGATGGGGGGTTATGAATCCCTTAATTACACGACTCAACTCAATATAGTGGGTTGGAGTGTTGTGTTTATAAAAAGTTCATTTTACAAAAGAAAAGGGAGAACTGAGAGCAGAGAGAAGAGATGAGGAACAGCAAACCGCTCATCACCACCACAGCGATCACACATCAATCGCAAAACAGAAACATCTGAGAGAGAAGAGATGTTTACACCGATGGGAGCTGAGCTAAAGTCACATCCTGTGTTGTGGCTGATAAAGTAAGCGGAGTAACACATTTTAAAAGGATTCTAAAGTGAAGAAGAATAATCTTTATTTGTAAAACTGTGAAAGGAAAGAAGCCAGAAACATCTGCATGTTGCATGATGCTGCTGTTTATCCTTTAAATGTACAAAAACAAAAGTCGTGAAAACGTAATGAAAGAATCAAAGTATACGTCACTAAAATATCATTAAATAGTCATAGTATAGTACGTCATTACTAGAGCTCTCAGTGCTACATCCTGGTGAGTTAGGATGCTCATAGGGCAGAATAATATGTCATCAAGATATAAGAAGTCATATTAAAGTACGTCATAAAATGTCATTGTATAGTTTATCAAAACAGTCTGAGTATGTTGTGTAAAAAAAGTCAGCAATTAATCATGCAATTAAAATATAAGAAAAGTCATTAAAGAGTCATCGTATAGTTTGACATTAAAATGTTAACAGACGTCTGCCCTTCAAAAGGCAAAAGACTTTTTACACTTCCAAAAATGACGTTTTATCATGTGTGGAGCTGTGCAGACTCTGTCATGTGGACAAACACTGTGTTCCTGTGTTGTTCTTTGCAGAACATCGTGGGTTGTGTTTAACTTAACTGTGAAAATATTATGCTTTTTCCCCCCATTCATGAAGTTACCGTTTTCCTGCACACAAGTTGGTGTTTTTGCTCCGTGTTTTATGTCGTTCACTACACTACAAAAACAAATATCATATCTCATTAAAACTGAATAAAGTATTGTTTGTTCTTATTGTTGTTGTTAATCTAACCTATCCATTTATCAAGATAGCCGACTCCTGGGGTCAAATGTTGTTGGAAATGATTTTGGATGCAGATACCAAGACACAGGTCAGAGATTAATGAAAATAGCATTATTGCAAAATGAATCGCAAATGTTAGCAAAGAGACAGAACTGGAAAGCTGCTCCCAGCAATCAGAACTGAGTTCAAAGCAACCAGGTAATGATCGTAAATCGTACAAACATCTCTGTCACTCAGTCTAATTATCGATGATTATTTTCATACAATATATCGCTGACTGTAATCAAAAACAAAGTGACTGATCGAATAGATGTTAGAGCCTTTTTTCATTTAGCTGGACACCAAAACAACTTTAAACACATTTTCAATACTCTGGTCACTTGTAACCCTAACCCTTTGTGTGGCGATGTGATATTTCATGACAGTATAAAAAAGTCAGGATTTCACATATCATGGTTCAGAATGCATTTGATATGCCATAAAAATGTCATAATATAGTATGTCGAAAAAAAGTCACATTATAGCATGTCGAAAAAAGGTCCAAAAAGTTACATTATAGTACGTCAAAAAAGGTAAAAAAGTTATGATACAGTATGTAGAAAAAATAAAAACAATAATCATAGTGTAGCATGTCTAAATAAATTCATAAGAACTTCATCGTATAGAAAGTTAAAATTAAGTCCTAACAAAACAATAATCATTAAAAGTCTACATGGCTCCTTCGGCTCCCTACGTCGATACAAATGGCTTTTCTAAGCAAACAAAAACACTTTCAGGTGTTTAAACACTAATTAAAACATAGTCATAAATAATATATTCCATTTCTGCCAATTAATCCCCTAAATGCTCCACACTGTTCCTTAATAGATTAGTTTATTACACATCCAAGTGTATGATTGATCAACACTACACCAGTCGCTGCATTAAATCAATCACAGGCTGTAAATCTGAAAAATGGTGAGACGACGTAATAAAAATTAACCAACACTCAAGGTGCCACGATGACTGGTGCCTCATGGAATTACCAAAATGTCTGAATAGGACGGACGGACGGACGGACGGGTGTGTATAAAGTCTCAGACGTAAATGACAAGCAAGTAATCCAGCCGCCAGTCATCCGGCCAGTCAGCCGTTGCGAGAGGGCCGAGTGCTGTTGTGTATTTGTGTCGAGCACAGTGACTATTGGCGAGCTGTCAGTCGCTGTGACACACATCCTGACGTGCAGCAGCCCCGTAAGGCCTCCCCAGGAGGCTGTCAAGACCAAGACGGGGAAAGAAAGTCTGTGTGTGTGTGTGTGTGTGTGTCCATCCATGTGCGTCTGGTCTGCGTCTGCAGGTGGTAGATCGGTGTGGGTGTAGATCAATAATAATCAGCTGCAGTAGGAGTGGAAGTTCACCCAACAGACTCACCTCACACACACACACACACACACACACACATGCACAGCAGCAGCACTCAAAAAACAATCCATACACCTCGTGACATTGCATCGTGGCCCAAAACTAAAGTGGCAGCCCTGAACCAAAGGAAACACACACACCCACACACACACACACCCACACACACACACACTCACACAAAACAACTCAAACAAAAGCGCTTACTCACGCTCAAAAAGTACAGCGTCAAAAAATGCCTGCGTCTAATTTCATTGATTTTTCACGTACCTCCCCCTCCAGCCTCCCCACCCCACCCAGCACACCTGTCCTCTCTTTCTTTACCTCTTCGAGGTGGTCTTGATGATGTCAGAGACCTTCTGTATGTAATCGGTGGCGAGCACCACGATCTCCTCGTCTTCTGAGAAGTTGTCGTGGAAGATTTTGTCCAGCAGGCGTTTCCAGTGAAGCTGTGGAGAGAAGAGGAACGTCTTAGTTTAGGTCGAGTCATAAATCATTTAGAGAAAGAGAACAAAAGAACTAAACCAAAAACACAAAACAAACCGAGAGGCTTTGCTCGAGTAGATCTTCAAATATCGACCCCATTGAAGTGAACGGAGTATATTCAGTCTAATCGGTTTTAAATTATGGAGAAATAATAAATCCACAGATTGAATTAATTCATCAAAGCGCCGCCTCAATTCTCATGAGTGAGACTGAAAACTAAATTGCAAAAAGAGTAAAATTCACAAGCTCTGTACAAAGAAACACGTGAAATGGACTTAATTTGACTTGGTCACTACATTAAACAGATCATGTCCAACTTTATAATACGTGCACATATTATTAATTACATCATTTGCTTTCATACACTAAATACAATTTGCTTCATAATCGCACTGTTCTACGAGCTGATTCTGATTCTGATGCAGGTCAGAGAAAGCGAAGCGTGGCAAGAGGACACCAGTCTTTAGAAGTTCTGCTCTCCTCGAAGGTGACGGTCAGGAAGTTGGTGGTCACGTCCGTCACCGAGACCTTTTCCACGTCACTTCATCCAAGTTGAATTTATGAGATTTGGAAGAGTTATAAAACAAATATATGTGAACTGTTTTATTTGTCTTGCCAGCCTTTTGTATAGTATCTTGACGCTTATAAGTTTTGCGCTTGGTTAACGTTGTGAAACGGTCGCGGTGACGTTTATGCAACAAAACCAGTTAGTTCAGGTCAGAAAAAACAGTTTGTAGGCTTGTAACGTAACATCACGTGGCATGATGTTTGTATCATATGGGACATGAACCCCGGCCTACCTGAGTTACAGCCCAGTGGTCTAATAACGAAAAAAACCTGACTCATCTCGTTCCAACAACCAGCGATGGTTCAGCCAGGAGGCCGCTGTTCGTGTGAAACGAGGAGTCAACATCGATGTTTTTGACACGTAACTTGCGTACTTCAGTATCGTCACTTCCGTGGTTATTTGGACCCAAACGACGATCTTTTCTTAAACCTAATTAAGTATTTTTATTGCCTAAACCTAACTGAGTTTCCGGTGAAGACGGATATTTATTTGAAAAAGACCGTATGCATGTAACCGGTCAATTCCAGACCCGTTGATAACAGACCTGCTACACAAAGTGTCATGCAATGCTACATGAAACATGTAAATGAACTTTACAGAATAGATATATATACACATGAATTTCAGTGGTAATTAGGGGTCTGACATCCCAGTATTTCATAGTTTAACGTGTCCAGAAAAGTCCAATTCAAATACACACTCTTTGGTTGTTCACAATGAAGCCAAGATGATACGAGACTCTGTGTAGGAATCGCTTTGCGATCGGCACAACCTGCTTTGGATCCTCAACAGCGATCTACTCTACTTTAAATTCCATCATTTCACTTTTTGTGTCTACTTTGCTTCTTGGGAACAATGTTTTTTTTGGGTTGTTAGCTGTTTGCTTGCCGGCGTCCTTGTAACGCTAATTCGATTTTTAGTTTTTTTACAGTAAAAGCAAATAAATTGCAGCAAAACACTGAATTCATTCATCTGCTAGAATCTCCGTCCTCTAATCTGCTTCTCCTTTTTTCTCGTCAGCATCTCTCGTTCCCCATCTTTTTCTCTTCTTCTTTACAACCATTCAGACTTTTTTCTGTTTGTGTAGTTATTTTGGCAGACGAGCTGAAAATCAAACTCTTTATCTTCGTCTCACAAGAAGCCCAGTTTCTCTATTTCCTCCTTCCCTCCTTTCCTCATCCTCCCCTCCCTCGAACATGAAACATCTTGAGGATTTCATGTCCGTGTTCCCGCTGCTTCAGAGGAGAGCCTCCTCCCCCTCCTCTCCTCCCCCCTTCCTCTCCTCCCCCTCCTCCCTGCCTGGGTCTCCAGTGTCTCCCCCTCTCCTCTCCCCTCCCTCCATCATTTCCAACATCTACCATTTCCTCCTTTTCTCTTTACTTACTCCTTTCATTCCATCGCTCAACCTCCCCGTCTATCCCCGCAGGGCGGACAGCTTTTTGTGAGTCGCTTTGGCCTCTATGTGTGTGTGTTTGTTGTGTGTGTGTGTGTGTGTAGCACTTCACCACTCCCTCCCTCACCCAAACACACACACACACACACACACACACACACACACACCCAAACACACACGCCACACTACTTAAAATGCTCAGTTGGGGTTCAAGTCTTAATCCATCACGTTTGCTTCTACCCAAAATGCACGGCACACACACACACACACACACACACACACACACATATAGATGATGGGTTTTTATGTGTGTGTGTGTGTGTGTGTGTGTGCAACACTCACATCGGGAGCGAGGCGCTGTAACTGCCGGAGGGTGATGCGGTTATACATGGTGCTGATGTCCTTTCTTTGGTCATCATATTCTGACACAGTGATCTGGAGAGAGAGAGGAGATTTTTACTCAACACTGCTCAAACACACACACACACACACACACACACACACACACACACACACACTCATGCATGTGCATGAACAAACAACACGCAAATCAGCTCACATTGGCGAGACGCGTCTCCAGCTGTATGATCTCCTTGGACTTCTGCGTGGCGTTGTGAGCCCCCAGCATGCTCAGCAAGCGCTCCATCAGGGCCTTGTACGCCGCCAGGATCTGAGAGGCGCAATGACATCAGCGCTAATAGACAGGAGGAGCTGCGACATCATCGGTAATGGCCGGTGACGGGGGGTGAGGGTGGGGGGGGGTGACATGTGGCAAAGTGGACGGGATAACAAAAGCACAGCGGGTGACAGAGGAAAACAGGTGGATTGATGAGGAAGAGAGAGAGTCAGAAGGACAGATGGAGGAGGGGAAAAAGAAGAAAAGGAGGGAGGTAGGAGGGGAGGAGATAAGGAGATAAGGAGCCAAGAGGAAGTCAAGTATAAGGGAAAGGAAGGAAAAGATGAAGGAAGGAGGCAGAGAGTGTGGGTTGAGCACAGACTGTATGTGAGAAGTGGACGTAGTCGTCGTGTCGTCACTCATTGGTTTGTAGACATGTTTTGAAGCCTCGAGTTCGGCGCCATCTTGAATTTTTGTAACTGGTGAACGAAAGTGACCGTATATGGACTGAGGAGGAGTGACGTAGAGACGTCGTATACGTCTCTGGTAGAGACCTGTCAATCACAGTAGCCCCGCCCTAAAGCATCCCCTGCTTTATGGTCTGTGTGACTCTAAATGGACCATCATGTACTAAATGAACATCATGCTGTATAGAAGAAGACTTGAAACTAGAGATTGAGACCATAAACTCATGTTTACAATGTTTACTGAGGTAATAAATCAAGAGAGAAGTAGAGTCATTTTCTCATAGACTTCTATACAACCAGAGGAGTCGCCCCCTGGTGGACATTAGAGAGAATGCAGCTTTAAGACATGAAGCTTTGACTTCACTCTTCAGAACCGGAGGTTGCTGTCTGGGATTGAGGGAAACAGGAAGTGGGGAAAAAAAAGAAGAATTCAGGGAGAAAATAAGATGATTGGAAGTAGAGCGGGACAGGGAGGGATAACTAACATGGAAAAGAAAAGCTGTGAGGAAAGGGAGGAAAAAAAGGGAGATTGAAGGGTGATGACAGAAAGAGGGAGATGATGGGATGGCGTTGAAGATGAGCATGTTTACCTTCAGACTGTCCTCATCCTGTCCCAGGTAGAGGCTTCTCTCCGGCAGCGTGAGGCCCTCCTGATCGACCTGCACACACACAGTCAGCACATTCATTCTGGTCTGTTGTCACATGTGTGTCGCTAAGCTCTCAACAGATGCACATTCAGAGGATCGGTTAATATTTTAATAATCCGTATATCTGTAATATGCAATGCCTACACGTAGAGTCTTTATCTGTGTCAAACTGTCGTCTTTTATTAAATCTTAGATATTACTTAACTTAAATATTGTTGCTGTTCGGTGCAAATTCTTCAAATTTGTTGATTTAAAATGTTTGAAATGAACTGAGGGAATAAGTATTATTTAATGAGCCTCTCTTACTTCTAAAGCCCATTTGATAATCTGTCGAATGTTTTGTCACAAAGGTGTAAACAGGGCTGTTTTTCCTCATGAAAAGTTGACATCTTGGAGATTTTTGGTTTTCAAAGGCCAGATCCAGTATTGGTTGTTTTCCCTGATAATAGTGAATTCAAATGACTTTTTTCAAACTGTGCATCAGACCAGATGTTACAAACCTCTGGATGTCCGTCTATAAAAACTTAAACGAAACAAAAGTTTAAATATTAAGTTCAAGGCTGAACCCCAAAACCCGCCAGCGGGATAGAAAAGCATGTTCGCCAACACCCCAATCGCCAAAACTGCACCGTTTATCACAACCAGAAGCTGTAAAAACTGTCATAATCGTCAGATTTTCATCTTTCCGACGGTCCTTGAACACATAATGTGTGATGAACGTTTCCCTCAGAAAAATTAACCGAATCTAAGCTTAAAATTGTGATATTTCATCAAAAACATTTTGTTCTACATGCCTCACTTAACCTCAAAGGTTCAATTCCGCCTCAAAGAAACCGTTTCAAGAAGACAGATCCTGTAAAAACATAAAATTCTGAGTTCCTCAGCGCAACTAGGAAGCCATGAATGATTTGGATGAGACCAACAGTTACATGACAATAAATCTGTGATCTCTGAGTGAACTGCAGGCTGATGAACACAGCAGAGAGGAGAGGCTGGAAGTAGAGGCTGTAAATATGTAAATAGTTTATTATACAGGTGGAGCCTCAATTTGTTTATTCAACATTGGTAACACTTGTGGCAACTTGGATAAATGTTGGACATACAGGTACAGATTCCATTGTTTTCCAAATTTTTGTAAAATAAATTGTCAAAGAAATTCAACTTGCGTTTTTTTTTTTGACAATTTAAGGCATTGTTGTTGTTTTATACTGCAGAAAATGTTTGAGTTCTCTCTAATTCTAGCCATGATGGTGCTGTTTCCATACTTTAATGTCGCAGTGAAACACACCCCGAAGCTGCTCAGGGTTCAGAGGGTTAAGGAGCTGATAATGCACCTAAAAGGAAAGCAGTAAGTGTCATGTGACTGTGACTTCTATGAGGATTTTCCACCTGGCTACGTTGCTAGAATAACACACTCAGAAACTCAAACCTTTCTCACCCTGATTGCGTTCCTGGAGGAGTTTTTGTCGTCCACATTGACAGTGAGGGAGAAGAAGACGGCGGTGCTGTAAACACCCTGGGTCCTGTACAGAAGCTCGTTGAAGTCCGGCCTCAGCGGGGCGCCCTCCCTCTCCCACCCGGCGGCACCGGGAGGAGCCCCGACCAGGTCCCACCCCCCGCAGCTGTCTATCACCTCCGTCATGGGGTCAGATCCCAACTTGTCGATCTCCTGGATGCTCACACAGGACCGATAGAACTCCTTCACCTTACGCTCTGCCGAGTCCGCGCCGCGCCGCCGTATCGGCTCCAGCAGGAGGCGCTGCAGCTTCTCCTCGTTGTGCTCCCCGATGGCGGTGATGATGCCGTAGCTGAGCTTGTCGTCAGGGATGCCGTGGCGCCTCAGCCAGCCGCCACACGCAAAGGAGTAGAAGTCCTGGCAGGGCTGGATGGTCGGGTCAATATTGGCCTGAACGAAGCGCGCCGCCCGCAGCAGGGAGCGCTTGCGTTGGCAGTCCTGCCGGCACTGCGGGTCCTGCTGGGCGTCCAGGGAAATGTACTTGAGCGCCAGCATGCTGCCCAAGATGACGCACATGCCTGCCGCGAAGACCAGCGCAGAGAGGAGGCAGATCTCCCTCCGGCTCCACCGAGGAAGCCCCCCGCCGCTGCTGGTGCTGCTTAGGTCTCGGTTTTTGCCATTTGACATCGTCCCTCCCCGGCTCCGTCCCGCGTGGCGGTCCAGGCTGCCCCCCAGGTGAAGGGTCATGCCGTTGCTGAGGATGTCGCTGCTGTAGCGGCCGCCATATTTCACTTCCTGGAACTCATCGTAGTGGGCAGTTAGTGAGTACGTCTTCTCCATGGCAATGGGCTGACACCAGGTGAGGGGTACTGCGGGAGCCGGGCGTAGACAGACAAAGGGATGAAAGTTGTTTTTATGTTGAGTGTGCAGCCATGATTACTCCTACGCAGACGAAAAAGAGGACTTCCACTAAAAGGGCAAAACACTGAAGTGATGTCAAAAATCCCGTTGGCCCTCTTTAAGCAAAGTCTCCTTTATTCTTTTCAAATCAAAAGCCAGCAAAGCGAAGGGCTCCCATTGTGCAGGAGGAATCTCACGGGTCCTGCTCTCTCTCTCTCATCCTCTTCCTCTCCATTTGTTCTCCTCTCTCCAACCAGTTACAGGTGACCTGTCGATAAAAATAGAAATGAGAAAGGAAGAGGGCTGTAAGTCGACAGAGATGGTAAAACCGAATCCATGATTACAAACAGCAGAGTCTGACAAAGTAGTATATTCTAGTGCCCCCCCCCCACACTTTGTCTTGTTGTCTTTGTCGGGTGAAAGCTGTTGGATTGATCGGTGGTAGTCATCCCGCTGGGGGGGGGACGACGATGTGCCCGGGTGGATGGATCAATGGAGAGCAGAGCAGGGAGTTGAGCATCATCAGCTGGGCACGGAGAGGTGGCAATCACCATCATTTAGCTTGTGTCAGTCCAAATTGATGTACAATTTTTTTAATTTTCTTGCAGGACGAGGGAGAATTGATGTCCTCTGTCTCACCGAAACAGCACAGCAGGCATCAGCTGATCTTCTGCGGTGGTTTTTAAAGCAATAACAAGCTAAAACAGAGGACAGCATTTCACTCATGCATCCCAAAGTGTTTTCATTTAGACCAACAATACACTGGATGTATACCATGTATATGCATTTATGTGATGCAGCAAAAACAATGAACAAATGCAGACTCGGACTATTTTTCGTTTAGCATTTTCTTTTGCTTCTGCTAATGCACTCTACATAAAGCCTGGAGGCATTATCACAAGCCTTTAGACAGAGAGATTATTTGGATGCTGCCCCAGTGTTTATAAGCCCTTTTTGTGTGTGTGTGTTTTCAGCGGCTATATGCAGTGAACTCGCTGAAAGCTGTGAAGGCGATCTGTGAAAATTGATCCCTGTTATCTCCTCTGAGAATAGCCAACTTCAGCACTGATGTCTTTAACAAGCGTTCCCTCGCCTTATGGGAGTGCTGTATGCAGATAAGAAGGGAAACAACAAGAAAGAAAGAAACAAGACGTTTAGTGTTTACAGGTACAGAGAGAGGAGTATAGCCTCATTCTGTGAGAGGTCGTAATATAAATCATGAGTGGAAGGGAAAATGGGTGGTGAAGGGTTTATTATGTTTTAGGGGGAAGAACGACAGAAAGAATACAGTGCATCACAGTGAAGAGATAAAATCATTTTCTACCACTGCAGACATGTGAGGTTCAAGTCCCGGTGGCAATAACACCGTGTTTGTTTGGTGGGAAGCCAACCAGGGGTTCTCCTCACAACAGTCCTCAGAAACAAAATGTTTCTCTTGGAAGAAGCTGAAGTGTACGAGTTACATTGAACGTCAATGCGAGAAGTATTGAACCCCCACAAGGTAGAAAAAGAAACCCCGAGTTTAACTTTTCCATGAAGCCGTGAGAGTCTGCGTGACATAAAGTTTGTCATCTGGTCATTTCTGCGAGGGTCGGCGCTTAATGATGGCGTGGACAATCCTCGCATTAAGTCCGCTATATTTTGCATTTAGAAGTGTGATGCATTTTTTTTCACCAACACTGCAAACATCCATTGGCTCTCAGGCAGCCAGAGGGGGCGTGTGAATGTCTGTGCTTGGTCAACAGCAGCTGGCGGGCTGAGCCTCAGCAGGGGAACAAGAGGCAAAGTAAACAGAGCGTAGTAGCCTACGTGTGATGGGCAGACAGCGCGTTGTTAGTGGTCCTCAAGAGTGAAGAACACACCAGCATCTAACTAACCCGGCAAAAAAACACTTGGCAGCTGATTGAATGTGTATCACCGTCCATCAAGGGCTGACTTCAACCAATCCAGACCATCAGAGCCAGTTGGTAAATCAAACTCTTGCCAAAGCCAGTTGGGAGCGAAAACATGTTTTCCATCGAGACAGATCCTTCAGTGCCGTTCTTTGCTCTTCTTTCAATGAATAGATGCCCTCCAGTCCTGATAGAACTGGTGCTATTGTAGAAAGCTGCTAGCAGAAGGCATACTTTGTTAAGAGTGGTCGGAGGAAACCGGATGGGACAGCGCGAAGCGTCTGCGTCTTTACATCTAGCGGGTGAAGAAGAAGCCGGTGACAACATGTAGTCTGCCGACACTCTGCCCACAACAACAACAACAACAACAACAACAACAACAACAACAACAGCAGCAGCAGCAGCAGAGGCGACTGGGCATCTAGTGGTCGACAATAGGTGTGTTGCTGTCATTATCAATTCAGCTTATCATCCATCAATCCTCGGCCTTGTTACACACACACACACACACACACACACACACAGACACACACACACACACACACACACAATAGACACATCTATGGCGCAGATCATTTCTTATAACGTGAATATTACAGAACTATTCTCTCTTTGCAACATCTGCCCCTCTCTCTTTCAAATGCAGGTGCACTTTCACATACCTTCCTTAGGCCTTATAATGAATTATGACGCATGCATGCACGCACACACACACACACACACACACTGAGTGGACACCCAGCGTATGGCTAATGGATTGGATCTTGCGGGTACCATCACAGGGAGAGGAATGCATGATGAATGGCTGTTTACCGAACATGACAGAGCCTAATATCTTAGAGTCATACTAATACTGCTGCACACACACACACACACACACACACACGCATACACACACACCCACGCACACACTGTTTCTCTCTCACGGCACATACACATTAAACGCATCAAAAACACAGCCCTGGTGAAGCATAGCGACTTGTCAATTGTCAAGCATTTCCCATACATCTTTCCAGCAACAGACAATCTCTTGTTCACTTAAAGCAGGGGGTTCTCTGGGTGTGGTCCGGGGCACTTTCAGGGGTCCTGCAGATGGCCAATGGCAAACGGACAGAAAGTTCTACTGAATCCAAATGAACCACAAAAGCGATCTTCAAAAGCGACCTAACACTTTTTATCCATTAAATTACATGTCCTTTATTACACTGTTCACTGCAACAGAAATTATATTCCTATTTCCAGAGGAAATCTCGTAAATGTGTCTTCTAGACGCCAAAAACTTCTGTGAAAAATCGGTGTTTCTTGGGACACTTCGCCCACGAACTACGAGGCAACGCCCCGTTCGCCAATACGTGTAAACCTACCGGTCAGTAAGAAAAACATGAATTAAAACATGAAAAATAAGATCATATCTCGACGTTAAAGCGGCTGAAAAGCATCGCTTTGCGTAGCAAACTGCACCCTACAACTGGATGAACCTTCCTCTTGCGTCTCTAACCAATCTCTAAATCCTCAGAGGAGATCAATGGATAATCAATAGGCGGAGGCCTCTGATGGGGAGGTTAAGGAGACTCTGCAGATGGATCGCAGTGCTCCGTTCATAAATGGCTCAATGTAACTGCTGTGAGCTGATGGATTCAGTCAAGTTACTTGTGAATATTTTACCGGCGTAGATTTGTTTCCATAAAGAACTCAAATTGAAAGTTGCCTGCTGATTGCAAAACGACAGCTATATGTGTATCAGCACGAGCTGCACTGAGACTTGTCAGTGCTTTTTGGAATTACAGGCTTTATTGCTCGGGGAGTTAACACATCAACGCATTAAAATTGTTCCCTGTGGTCGGAGGAAGCTGTCGGATTTGTTGATGGTGAGATGTAAAGTCACCTGCGGTCGACATCGACAGGCAACAGAATTGCAAAGTCGCCCAACGATCGCCGGAGGGCACATTTAAAGAGGCCATAAAGGAGCATATTTTTTTTATATTTACTCTGTCAGTATAATTTACTGTTGAATCGATACTATAGTAAGAAAAAATAAAAAGATTCCACCTTCTGGTCTGTTGCCAAACACATAACCTGCCCAACGACACAGGAAGCAAAATGCATTTCGCAACTGATCGTCCTCAAAACATTTCACAATGTTTGTTAAACTCACAGTCAGACTTAACTTTACAATTAACATAAATTCACTGAGAGCTAACTCTTTCTTTCTTTCCCTCCACTGCAGTTTGTGATGATATTTGGTGGTGGCCAAGAAGTAAGAGCTTATGCGGGGAACTCTACGTCACCTGAAAGCCCTCTATAACTGGGTTTATTATCCCCTAATCAAAGTGGTCACAGAGCCTGCCCCTCCCCCCCCCCCACCCAAAAAAAGCTGCACGGTCGCTCAAAGGCTTCAGAGTGGGAGCCGGCCCCCCTCCAGCCTTATCGCCGGTCGCCAGAGGCTGCAGTAGAGTGCTACGGTGCGTTTGTATGGGCTACCGATTTGGACACACAGCTCAGGAGTCCTCTATATAAAACCAGGAGATGCTTCTTTAGGCTTGTACCAGGGCAGAGGGGCCCCTTTGTGGTGCCATTAAAACTTTTTTAATGTTGTGCAGCCTATGTGGGAGATGTTGCCCTTCAGAAATATAAAGAAATTAATGAGCACAATGGGCTCTTTAATTCTATTTCATTATTAAAACAGAAGAGTTTGAGTCACTTGAAGAACACTCCCTTACACACACACACACACCCACACACCCACACCCACACACACACACACACACACACACACACACACACACACACACAGGTATTAGGCGCTGACATAACTCTATTAACCTTAATGACTTCCCAAACTCCTGCTTGCTGCTCCTGATAGAGCAGCAGGCTCTGCCAAACTAAGACCAAATTATTGGGATTTTAATCACTTTGACCTGAAGCCTCGTTGCGCTGACAATATCTATACGTCCTCAACACCTTTACATAGACAACCTCACTGTGTATTATGAGTTGTGGTGTGCCGAATGAATCATCGTTTGATATATTTTGCATGTATAGAGTCTTAAATGATGGTCTTTAAACAATAACAGAAAAGGTATTAAATTGCACTTTTTTTGATCGGAGTCCTGTATGAGGGAGAAAAGCGCGTGACTGGCGGTGGACAGAGCAGTTGAAACTGCTGTATACAAGTGTGTGTGTCAGTGCTCATAAAGAGAGCGACTGGTATGATTGCAAACTTTTTGGGGCAAAAACTCGTGGTGCGTAAAGACGCAGACCAGGCTGCTGCTGCTGGTGTGCAAAATAAAGAAAATATGGTTTTTCGCATATTTTAATATTTAGTTTTAGCTAAATGATGATGAATTCCAGTGGTGTTACATTTGATCTGTCGAATCATCACCAACGACGCAAACAAGCTTTATAGAAACTGCAACATAATAAATCCACATAAATCCACGCACTCTCAATTGGGACACTTCATCCTTCTGTAAAGTGAAGAGTCATTAACTCAGCAGTCAACTTCAGTCACATCCAGACCGACAGACCGGCTCAGCATCCACACGTCCAATTGAATCATTTATTTCTCTCTTTTAGTGACAGCTGGCCGACAGACGCGTCTCATTACTGACCATAAAAACTTCTAGTCCCGCTCTCTGACACGTGAATACAAGACCCAACATATATGAGTGTCTGCTGCTAAAGACGTGACTCCCAAGTTAATTTATGGCAGCTTTTTCCTTTAACCTGTCGTCCATAATTAACAACAGCAACATGAATCAACGTGGGTTTAGTCTAAGAGCCATGAGCTGTGCCATGGACCCGTATAGGTTTTTATATCCATGGCTGATCAGAGGTGCGGAGAGCCCCGCAGCGATGCAAACTTGTGCAAAAAGACCATACCTGTGGCGGGTAGATGAACAATATCCCCTGGTGGAAACGTGAGAAGCGCCTTGGCTCTGAGTGTGCAGACAGCGGAGATCCAGTCCACTGCAGGTCCGACCAGGATTATCCTGTTCCCCCTCTGGAGATCGACACACACATCGGGATCCGCACCGCGTTCTGCCGCCGCTGCAGCTCACAGCCTCCGATGTATGGAGGAGAGAGAGAGAGAGAGAGAGAGAGAGAGAGAGAGAGAGAGAGAGAGAGAGAGGGACAGGGACAGGGAGAGAAAGGGAGGGAGGAGGGGGTCCCTCATTAACAAGGTAAGACACACACACACACACACACACACACACACACACACACACACACACACACACACACACACACACACACACAATCACACAAGTTAAACAGATGTTAATCCTTGTCCACTGGCTGTCCTTTTTTATTATTATTCTCTTTCATTTGTTGTATTTTTAAATTGGTATTTGTGCCAGTGAGTAAGAAGCCAAATGCACATTTTATAACATTATTCAATATTTGTTTGTGCAAATACTTCTAACTGGCATTGTTATTGTTAGTCATTTGCTGTTTTTTAAGGAGAAGATTGACTTCAAATGGAGACTTTTGATGCTCAATTCAGCATCCAAACATCCTCAGCTGATTATATAAAACCTCCTCCACATTTCCCTCAACAATTGAAGAAGTTATCTAAAAGTTTACTATATATACAATCCCCCAATAATCCATAACTACTACTATACACAACACTGTACCTGTACATGATCAATAAATGAAGGAACATCTGAATACATATCAACACATATGATATTCTGTTAATGTTTAGGAAATGAATGAAGAACCCCAGCAGCTCAGACAACATCAACCCATTCCTAAATGAATGAGTCTATTCCACTGATTAATATTTTGGGCTGCAACATTTTATGATTCTACCAAATCACAAAGTCAGTTTTTAATAAATCTTCAACCGCTAAACATCCCCTACGGAAACATTAATCTCCATGTAGCCTGAGAGTCACACAAACCAAACTGATCAAACCAAAAGGTCGACTAAATGTTATTATGCAAATCAGTCATTTAACTAACTGACCATTTTATTACCGCGACCGTGTTCAGTGAGAGTGACGAGCTCATGAGGGGGAGGACTGCTGGTTCATCTGGAGAACCACACATATATTATTGTTAAACCTTTTGTTGACTCATTGAGAAAATAGAAACACTCCTCAACAGAAGGTGCCGGTTTCATTTCCAAGGTGCTTTAAACTGTAAAATAACAACACATGAAACAAAAATGAATGGTTGCAGGGAAGACGACCCAAGTTTATATTAGAGTGACTTTGTGGTCAGCAGGTAACAGACAGACAGCAGGTCAAACATGCAGGAGGGAACAAACACAGTAGTGAATGGTTTGCAACATACTGTGGGGATTATGGGTAGTGAGGGACATGTGAACAAGAAGATTAGGGTCTGGTGACTGGCAAAGATGGGGAAGAGGTGATCGTAGTTATGATTGGGAGTAAACGAGGAATTCAGGTGATGTATTTTAAAGAGTGATAAAAGGAAAAAACACAGGAAGCAAAAGCACACACGGGCCGTGGTTATTTTAACCCAAACAACGATCTTTTTCTAAACCTAACTAAGTAGTGTTGTTGCCTAAACCTAACTAAGTAGTGTTGTTGTCTAAACCTAACTAAGTAGTTTTGTTGCCTAAACCTAACTAAGTAGTGTTGTTGTCTAAACCTAACTAAGTAGTKTTGTTGTCTAAACCTAACTAAGTAGTGTTGTTGCCTAAACCTAACTAAGTAGTGTTGTTGTCTAAACCTAACTAAGTAGTGTTGTTGTCTAAACCTAACTAAGTAGTTTTTGTTGCCTAAACCTAAGTAGTTTTCTTGCCTAAACCTAACTAAGCTGTTTTGTTGCCTAAACCTAACTAAGTAGTTTTGTTGTCTAAACCTAACTAAGCAGTTTTCTTGCCTAAACCTAACTAAGCTGTTTTGTTGCCTAAACCTAACTAAGCAGTTTTGTTGCCTCAACCTAACTAAGTTGTTTCCTGTGAAGACAGAGGTTTATTTTGAAAAGACTGTATTTGTGTAACGAGCAGAAATTGACATGTGTTGCTGGCTTGCGTATCAAAACGCACAAAAACTGAGGAGGAACTTTTTTAGTAAGATATCATACAAACCGTTGTATGAGGGTACGTTACGTAGGTGGGTTTACAATGAAGTTAGTTGAAAACCCGATGCGTCGCACAGACACCAAAGGGTGCCTTAAGCTAAACACCTAAATTGCAGTACATAGTGAAACGGATTTGCCGTTCATTTGAAAAGTAGTGTTTTTCATATACTCTAATGATAAAAGTAGTGTTTTTTCATATACTCATATTAAAAGTAGTGTTTTTCATATACTCTAATGATAAAAGTAGTGTTTTTCATATTAAAAGTAGTGTTTTTTCATATACTCATATTAAAAGTAGTGTTTTTTATATACTCCTATACTAAAATAAGTGTTTTCATACACTCGCATATTAAAATGAGTATTTTTCATATACAGTACTCTGATATTAAAAGTAATTTAGATTTACAAATTACAGTTCCAGCCTTTACAGTACCTCAGTATCTGCTATTATACCCATTTATTACTAAAAATAAGTTTACTGGAATCACTGATTACTTTGTGATGATTGCTGGCTGTTTGCCCGCCTTTTCATCTACCTCGACCGCAAATTACTTTGTGGAGTATTTTGTTCCTTCCTCTTACGGATGTGATTTCCTCAGTTAATTTACCTTTAGCTCGGGGCCGTTTTCATCCCAACTTTCCCCATCAGTTCCTGGGCTCATTTTGCTGACAGGTAACAACAGCGAGGGGAAACGAGACAAACCAGGCATGCTGCTCTATAATCCGGCTCAGTGAAGCAGTGGATTTGGGTTCAGCTGTCAGCCAGCACAGAAGCGGGACACTTGGCGAAATTATGCCACAACACTCGCGGCCTACAGACCCAGAATTATAACGAGTGCCCCAGCAGGCCGGAGAGGAGGGAGAGCAGCAATCCGGAGCAGCCGGGGGATGTTGATGATGAGCAGATGAGCTGGGATCGATGTCGGGAGTCTGACGGAGAGAACGAGGAGGGGAGCGCACAGATGAGTGGCGTTCCGGTCCCTCGGCACTTTGATTCATCCACATTTTTATTAGGGTTTTATTTACACACCTGCTGCCACAGGGACAGACGAAGGAAACTCACTCTCTCATCTTTATTCTGGCTCTCACACACACTAATACAAACAACAACACTGCAAGCAAACACACACAGCTGCGCTAAAACTTCCTCATGACAATAATCGAAGAGTCTATATGAGTTGCAGACAGGCGGTAACCTACGGTTCTGCTGAGTGAATTCTTGCATTCTCTCTAGTGTCCACCAGGGGGCGACTCCTCTGGTTGTATAGAAGTCTATGAGAAAATGACTCTACTTCTCTCTTGATTTATTACCTCAGTAAACATTGTAAACATGAGTTTTTGGTCTCAATCTCTAGTTTCAAGTCTTCTTCAATACAGTATGATGTTCATTTAGTACATTATGGTCCATTTAGAGTCAAACAGACCATAAAGCAGGGTATATTTAGGGCGGGGCTACACAGTGATTGACAGGTCGCTGCCGCTACCAGAGAAGTAAACAGTGTTTCTACGTCACTCCTCCGCATTCCAAATAGAGAAACTTTCTGTTCAGAGGTTGCAAAAAACCAACATGGCGACTGCCGTAATCCAAGATGGCGACAACGAAATCGCCGAACTCGAGGCTTCAAAACAGCAGTCCACAAACCAATGGGTGACGTCATGATCCAGTCCATGGTTGCAGACTACAAGTCTGATTTTTTGAGCGTTTAAAAATATCCTTTTTTGCCCTGGTTCACTTGATTCATCAAGGTCCCAGATGCAGCTGACATCTCACAAAGGAAGTCAGAGACTGAGATGACAATACTTTTTTACAGTGGCTCTAAAAGTGTGCTGATTTCACAAGAACATATTAGCCGGTGTGTGAGCAGTGATATATGCGCCTCCTTCCTTCTGGGATAAGTGTAATAGAATTACAGAGGTAGCCTCCAGGTCGCTCTCGGGTTTAGCCCAACTGAAGATGGATAGAGGTGGTTCCCCTGAAAGGTGCAACAACTTAGATAAGAGGAGAAGGGAGGAGGACGGGGGGGGGGGGGGATGTTTTTTCCTGCTGTCTGCTCAGCACCTGAGCCTGACCCCGCCCCCATGCATCCGCCCCCCTCAATCTTCCACTCAGATAGACTAATGGCGAACTGGGAGCACCATTTATATTCCTCACCCCCCCACCATGCAACCCCCCGGAGGTATTACATAGATAAGTAGAGTCATGTTCTCAAAAGTTTATTTTGAATTGGAGAATAAGTTAATTTGAGCAGACAAGACTGTATGTTGTGCTAAATGAGTTTGTGTGTTTGCTGCAGGTCAGAATATTTGCTGTGAAAAAGGCCTCTTGAAAGCAGGATCATTAGCTACTAAGGAGAGAAGCACCTGGATAATTATAAATAGTAATTAGAACAGAAATTCTGTTTTTAAGTTAGTCTCTACTTAGCAGGTCTCCTTCAGCTCATTGAAATTAAAATGCAGTTTGAAAGAAATTGTCATTTTCCAGAAGAAAGAATAGCAGAGAATTCATACTTCATACTTCATATTCATTCTTACTTGTATAATTATAGATTAAAAGAAGCTTTTTGTGGGGACAGTTGTGCACGCTTCTAAAATACTGATTTGGTTTCTGATTTAATTAAATTGAAACCGAATCTAAATATCCATGTGCAGGTCCGTGTTTGTGCGAGTGCCAGAAAAACCGAGCCAAACGTCTGAGACGTCGCCGTGCCTGACGAAAAATTAAAATGAACCACAATGAAGATGGACAAGAACTTGGCTCTCATTTCCTCCGCTTCCTCCTCCTCAGCTTTCTTCTTCCTGTCGACTTGTTTTTCTTGTGCAAAACCTTTTTCTTCGTCCTCCTCTCGTGTGAGTCCGGACCCCCAGCATCAGCCGGTGACAACGTGGGTCTATTCTATTTTCCCGTCAAACACAGGAAACCAGATTTCTGGGGAATGTCAGCGTCTTTTGAATCATTTAATCAAGCAGAAGTGTCTCACACTTACATGACTGTA